TTGGACAATAAGCTTGCATGAGCCCTAAAATGAGCGAAATTCGTCAATTAGTTTAGAAATGGCGGCCATTTAAATTTTCAAAATAGTGAAAATCACGTTTTTGGTCACTTCATTGATGTATAACTTTTGATTGAACAGGGATAGCTAATTTTTGAAAAATTTATGTGATAGCTCATGAAATTACCGTTAATTTGACGTATATAGTAGCATTGACATTTTGACCATTTTTAGTTGTTTTATCAAAGTTAAGAGTGCAACTGAACCATTTTCAGGCAATGTGTAGTACAACCGACTTATGAATGTTATATTATCGAGAATTCTTAACAGATCCTAACGAAATTTAGTATATTTAGATTCCTTGGACAATTAGCTTGCACGAGCCCTAAAATGAGCGAAATTTGTCAATGAGTTTAGAAATGGCGCCCATTAAAAATTTTCTAAATAGTGAAAATCTCGTTTTTGGCCACTTCATTGATGTATAACTTTTGATTGAACAGAGATAGCTAATTTTTGAAGAATTTTTGTGATAGCTCATGAAATTACCTTTAATTAGACGTATATAACATTGACATTTTAACCATTTTTAGTTATTTTATCAAAGTTAAGAGTGCAACTGAACCATTTTCAGGCAATGTGTAGTACAACCGACTTATGAATGTTATATTATCGAGAATTCTGAACAGATCCTAACGAAATTTGGTATATTTAGATTCCTTGGACAATAAGCTTGCATGAGCCCTAAAATGAGTGAAATTCGTCAATTAGTTTGGAAATGGCGACCATTTAAAATTTTCAAAATAGTGAAAATCACGTTTTTGGCCACTTCATTGATGTATAACTTTTGATTGAACAGAGATAGCTAATTTATGAAAAATTTATGTGATAGCTCATGAAATTACCGTTAATTTGACGTCTATAGCATTGACATTTTGACCATTTTTAGTTATTTTATCAAAGTTAAGAGTGTAACTAAACCATTTTCAGGCAATGAGTAGTACAACCGACTTATGTACGTCATTCTATCAAGAATTTCAATCAGTGAAATCTACCTTCCATTTCAGGTGTGGCCGAATGGCATTTTTTTTAGTGCTGCTGCGCTTGCAAGTTTTAAACCACCAGCAGAGTATACCAATGAATTCATGATCCTGGCGACCAAAGATTTTTGGTTGAGAAAGCATGGCATTAAATGGGATGAAGGATCATTCTCCTATACCGAACTCGAAGAAGTGCTGCGAGAGACTCTCAAGTACAAAACATACATTTATGTTTTGAGTGAGGAAAAAAAACGTTGGCTTGAAAAAGTAATTAATTTTTCATTCAAAATGATTGATCTATCAAAGATGAGATTTATCAACCATCTTGAAGACTTTGATCCTATCTAACCATGCCTCCTGAAGAAAAATCACTTAAGGAAACGCAATTACGCTTGTGCGTATGAAACGGTGCAAAGAATGAAACGTTGGTTTCTCAGCTGTTGGGGTTTAAATCCATCGCTGGAAAAGTCGTTACAGCTTTTTTATCAGCTCCAATCTTTAGTCAAGATGGATCCACAAGACATTGCCTGTTTGGATGAATCTTTCATACTTCAATTCACAAAACATGAAATTAATGCCATATGGTCAAAGCTCCCTGAGCGTATGAGGATCGATTCAAGATTTATCAATTATACAAGATGTACAGAGCATTATAGGACTATGTATGATGATGTTCTTGAGAACCCTTATCCATTGAAGAAGGACTGCTATGAATGTAACAATGTTAAATAGATTTTTTTATCAGCTAATGTATCTTAGAATAATTATTTTAATAAGGTTTCATAAATAAACAATTATTTAATTATAAAGTGTTTTTTTATTAATTATTTTTTTATTAAATTAAGTTTATGAATTAATACATGTTCAATAATTTTATTTAGATATTGCATTCGTCGGTAAAATCGCTCTCTATCTCTTGCTGCTTGTTCCCATAGACCTTGCTTGTCTGGATGTAAAGTCCCACATATACATGTAATGTATGGTAGGTTTGGAATCAAACTATACCATTAAGTAAGTTTTCTTACAGTGCTGCTGATTAGATTGTATTCCACTATTCGGTCGTGAATTATCAAACAGTAAGCAGCAGTTTGATTTGGAAACTGCGCTGACGATTCAAACTCCAGACGTATATCTACAGGCCCAGATTTGATTGACTAGTTCTGCTTGGAACAATCAATGATATACAGTGGTGGTTTATTAAGAAAATTTTTCTTAGATAATAGTGGTTCATCTTTTTTTCCATAGTAAACACTTTGAAAATTAGTGTACATGTCATACATTAAGGCATAATGATTATGTGCAATGTTGAGGTTCAAATTTCCATATGGATAAGTCTGTGAGTTCAAAACGAGCTTAATATCTCTTATGTTGCAGTGGTCAAACTCGCTTGTATTTTGATTCGGTTGGTTCTTTTTTCCCGTTTGAAATCCGAGGATGACAAAACGAGGTTTCTCAAGCTGATTTGTTGTTTTGATCACCCAATTATGCTTAGTGGTAGCTGGTAGCAGTGGATACTCATACAATTTCCACGTCCGGAAACTGATCGGAATAGCTGGATCAGAGAGTATGTAATTCAACTCCTCCATTTTTTGCTTGTCAGACATTGTTATATACGGTACAATCCACTCAATTGTCTGGATTGTAATCGTTACATTTTCATCTTCAGCGGTAACATAAGCATTTTGATCAGTATTTGATCTAATTAATATCAATTTATGCTTGGCATTCACGATAATTAGTTGATATGTCGTAGATCGGGAGAACGCTGGCCTCTGCGTCTATGTTCCGACCGAATGTCGTTGCTAATTGTTGATATTGAATTTGAGACGGCTCTTGGAGACCTAAAATGGATTCGTTTAAAGCGGGGGTCCAATATCGTCGCGGCTGAGGGATAAGTATTTGTTTCTAAGGAAGCTAGTTTTTGGTCAATTTTTTCTAGTAAAGTCATTCTTACAGTTTCTCCTAGAGGGGTCGATGGTGCAGATTGATCTACTGCTTGACGCAATAAATTTGAGACCGGAATCACTAGACTTGAAGTTACGTAATGTGCCTCACTTATCTCTTCAGTAGCTTCTTTGAAAGGACCAAGAAGATTAATAAGATCTCGTATTATGTTAAGTTGAGAAGTTGCAACCATGTCAGGTGTCTTTTTATTGGTTTGACTCTTTGTGGCTAAAATTTTAGCTACAATTGCTGATAGCTCAACAAATCGTACAAGCATATCTAAGCACGAGTTCAATCGAGTGCTGCTGACTGCTTGTATTAATGTCAACGCTTCACCTTCTTTTTTTCCCGATGCTATTTGCTCAGCTCGTAATTGGTCAGAAGCATTGACGGATTGCTTTAAAAACGTCACAATACTTTTAACGTGATCACGTACTACTTACAATAATCAATTATTGATTGTTAAATTACGTTATGATTCCGAGCTTTTCTTCTCATCCCAGCCAATTTGTTGTTTATTACAGTTACAAATTTTGCTTCATCGAAGGTATTTTTAAATTTGCGCCTCACAGTTTCAGGAAAATATTAATTATAATATATATTAACGTAAGTTTATAATTTTATAATAAGTCAATAAAAATAAACCGTAGTAATTTTTCAACAAACCTTTAATTGCATCTATTTTTTTAGAATCCAATGCAGTGTACTGAACATTTTCTTCGCTTTTAATTTTACTTTTACCTCCTTTATAATTACTTTTAATTAAAGTATTTGAATCAAATACAGCCACCGATAGTCCTAATGCCATTGATGTGTAAGTAGCTTTCTTTTTGACAGCATTCCACTGTTCCAAGGTAATAAAAACTCCACTTCCCTTAGTTCCAATTTCTTGCTAAAAAATACAAACAATATTGAGTATAACAGCATAAATATAAATTTCCATCAAATATTTTTAAGTTAATTACTCGATAATCAGTTTCATCATCATGGTTGCCAACGTCATGAGAGTTCGATTTTTTTATTTTATTATTGTTACATTGTAATCCAGTATCTTGACTCGAGTGACCTTGAAATCCTGACTGCTTCGATAAAATCTCTGACAAAACTTAAATTAAAAAATTATAACTACATTGATGTGTACTTGTAATACAGACATGAAAAAATAAAATTATGTATACTTTGTTTTAAATCTGATTTTGTCACAAAAGTTTGTAATAAGGCTCCAGAAACACCATCATTATCAAATCCATCAGTTTCTATCGGTTCTTTTTCTTTTTTTTTTTCAGCATCAATAATTATCTCAGGCTCCTGAAATTTTTTCTTAGTATCATTTATTATCTCAACTTCCTGAAATGATAAAATTTGTTAGGATCAAATATTATTAAAAAAAAAAAAAACGAGAACAATAACTGAGTGTTTATTTACTTCCTTGCCATCAATAATCTCTACAGAAGAGTTGTCAAAACAAATTTTTTTTGGCCACAGATCCATTATTTGCTAGGTCATCATCCTATTAATTAAAAAAATAAATATTATGTTGCCTATTATTATTTAATGAATGAGTTAAACTTATAACCTTTAAATTTTAACCATTTACAATAGAATTCGATAAAATTTTTAATGTCAACTATTTTTTTACGACATCTCATTAATTAAAAACCTTATTTTATATTATTTATAAGCTATCAATTATACCTGATTTGCTGAACGCTTTTTATCAGTTCTAACGTTACCATTGTCATGAGATTTGATTCCACTAATAATATCTAGTTTCTTATTCAAAACTCAAATGGAATCTAAATAAGAAAAAAAAAAATAATTGTAAATTTATTGAAAAATGTCATGCATGTAAATTTTTTTTTCGTTTTCATATCAAATGAAAAAAAAAATTTAGACATTTTTACCATCAAATTTGATTGAAAAATAATAAAGGATGCTTCATCATTTTTTAAAAAATAATAAATTAATTGGCATGAAATTAATTATTTTACCTGATACTGCTACAATTATACTATTAAAGCATGGCCATCCACCAAGTGGTTCATTTCTCGTCTTATGCCACTCAATGACAAATACTTGATCAAGATTCTCGGCATCATCTTTAAATTTGTCGTAATCAAAATCTTTTATCCATGAAGTATCGATGCCAACGCTGTATTGGCCATCATCGTCTCCTCCGACCCATTTTATCAATGCGTACATTGTTTTTGGCATTTTAATTATCTATTACATAAATAGTATGTATATATTAATTAACAGCACAAAGTTCTAAAAAATTATTTAAGGTTATTTTGACATATTTATGTAAAATTTCATCTCGTTTTATTTATTTTTAGACATTGATGTTATAATATAGATTTTAATTTTTATATTTAATAAAATATAAATATTTATATATAAAATATACTGATGGTGAAAATATATCCTTTATATCAACAGTAAGAACTGTCTTTATTATAACTGATTATTTTACACGTCTTATCTACGAATAAAATTATATTGCTCACATTATTATATTAATTACGACTTACATTAATATTTAATTACTATTGACAATAATGATTAAATAATTTCAACTAACAAAGATGCTTGCTGCTGCTGCTACTGGACTTGGATAAAGAACACTGAAAAATAATACTATTTGATCTTACTCTCTCCGAGCGTCTGCATTGTTACCAACACAACTCTATATCGTATTTTGGCGGGATCAGTAGAGCTGTTATGTAATATGTTCATTAAAAATTATAAAATTTTTTATAAAATAATACACATTTATTTATTATTATTTAATAAAAAATTAATTTTATTATAATTCGTAAATTTATTTTCAATGATAAAATTATGTTTTAGCATCGTTGCTCTGCTGGTAACTGTTATCTACACTATGACGTTTATTGAAACAGAAAATGTGGGTTATTTTGTAGATTTAAATTCTATTTTATACGAATATAATCCAATTGGTCTATTCACTATAATTCAAGTTATGAAATGTTCTTGGTATTACTGTTGGTCTATTTCGGATGTTGATATTTTTTTAGCTGGGCTGAGTTCAAGTTATTATTTGATTATATTTTCAATAATTTAAATCATAATTTTATAAATTAATTTTTGAGACTATTCTATTTATGTTAATAACTCGTAACGGTTAGGGTGTATACATCCTACGTATAATTCTTTCTTAGGCATCGGAACAACGGTAATTTTTTCTTTTATCATATGAATGTCAATTGCAGCATAGTTAGTAATTGGTGTGGTATTTTTGATAAAAATTCAATGTTTCAATCGTCTCTCTGGAAATAAATTGGAATTACATTTTTTAAAATATCGTCCAATTGCGAAACATTTCAATTCATTGTGTACTTCCCCTACTATAAAAATCGTAATTTCAATAACATGACCGTCAATTAATAAGACCGTATAACTATTCCGTTTCGTTACACGTGTATAAGCTATAGTTTGTATAACTTCTCTATTTATTACAATACGACTATAAGCTCTCATCACACTATTTTGATCCACCGTGTAACGATGTGCCATCGTGAGTTTCCGACCGGACTCGTAAAGAGCTGGAGAGAGAGCACCAAGATGGCGGTGCCAGATATAAAAAGGAGCGCGCAACACGTGCTTTCGCTTTTTAGTTATATATATTATTTGCCTTCACTTCGAGCAATTACGCTCTTATTATTACTGCAAGTAATCGAGCCCTGATGCTAATTATTGCTCAGAATTATAGATCATTCAGATTATTGCCAGATTAATGGTTTCGCTGATTTGCTTGTAACAGGGTAAATTACCCTTAATCGATAAGTCGCCAGAGATCGATAACTTTGTCGACTAGCATTTTGGCGTATCGATCTTCGGCCCTAGAAAGAGAGTAGGAGGGGGTATTTCGGGGAGCCATTAAATAGCTGAGCAGTGCGTTGTGTCGGCAGAAGTGGTGTAGTGTTGAAACAAGTAACATCGAGGAGTCCATGAAGGAAGCCATTAGCAACCAAGGAGTTCCTTCAAACCAATTGACACCAGGTATTGGACTTTGGTAGTGTTGAGCCTTGGGGGTCACAGCCGGCTCAATTTGACTGAACTACTTCTCATTAATTAAATTAAATTGGTAATTGTCCAAAATTCAATTGTCTATAATATTTTATTCAATAATAATTTAACTTTTTGAATTAAATTAATTTTGTTAGCTTTGAGAGCAATTCCTCCAGGGGATTGTTACACCCGAGGAATGTTCCAGACCTCCTGGGTTTGGTCGTGAGTATCTAAATTATTAATTCTGCAGGTTAATAATAATTAACACCTTTGGTTGGCATTAATGAATTAATTTTTTATTAACAAATTATTAATACGATTTTCTGAACATCAAGAAAACATTCCAGTCATAGCTCACGACCAGTCAAGCGTCTCTCGGTACCCGAGGTCAAGCTAACTACGCAGTAACGGCGTCCATCTCGAGCACGCAAATTCCTTAAGAATATGGTGACGCCGTAAATTTATAAAATAAATACATGGACTAATTTTAACAATTGAATTACCACTTGATTAATTATTTTATTATATTTATTATTTATGGAAAATTATTTAATTATTTATTCGGAACAATTTTAGTTACCGGAATTGATTTATTGAGGAAAACTGCGTCGCATTTAGAAATTTAACGCCGTGGATAATTCTCTGTGTTTAAATTTTCACCAGAGTGAATTAATTATTAACTAATCATTATTCACAATTTATCAGAAATTATTTATTCCGCGTATTATTAATTGTTGAGAATTAATTACCAAGTTTCGGCGCAGATAAGACTTAAACACCCGCAGGAAAATTGAGGCACGTAATTTTCATATTGAGTAAAATTACAATTTATTATGTAATTTAATTGCCAATTTCTACTTGGGGAGTCTTATATTGGAAATGTCCTGTAAAAATTATCAATAATTTATTATCATTGTTATTCCGGTAAAATTATTTATAGAACTATTTATTCGTGTGGATTACGTCCGTGAAAAATATAGTAAAATTTACGAAAAGAACATTTTAAGAATTTTGTTAATGCGCAGAATTAAGCTCGTGTTAAAAATGGGGGGAAAAGAAGCGTCGGTTTAAGCCGGATATTTTAAGAAGTAAATTTATTAATTTGCGAAAATAAAGTATAGAGTTTTATTGCGAACTAATGACTGATAAATCTTAATAAGTTCAACGTTGAAATTTTTCGAGTTAGTTTTGTAAATCCGGAAATAATAAAGTAGAGTCGGTGTGTGTGTGAGACGCGTGGGTTATGTGTGTGAAGATCGTGCGGGTTAAGTGTGTGCGATTGTACGCGTTCTCTACTTGTTGATGGTTTGCCGAGTAGAGCAATTCGTACAGTCCTAGAAGCCGTTGTATAGTCGCCAAGTGGGGTACAGCGGCAGTAAGTTAGAAACTGCAGTATAGTCGCTCCGTATGAGGGTACTGCGGGATTAGGAATTTTTCTTGGACGACCCCTACTTGTTGATGGTTTGCCGAGTAGGGTAATAAAATCTTGGTGCGATGTCCTCATCTTGTTGATGGTTTACCGAGTAGACGACTAGCGCCAAGTCGGAGTCGCCGGTTTTAGCCCGAAATCCTCCGTTAGTTATAAGTCGTAGTATTAAGTGGAGTCGCCGGTTTTAGCCCGAAATCCTCCAGTAGTTATAAGTGAGTAGTTGTAAGTGAGTTGGGAGTACGTGCAAGTGCACGAGTTGTTATTTCATTTTATTTATTGTTGAATAAATTTTGGCCAATTCTTTTAAATAAAGGTTTAATTATTTCCAGTACACCTTTCTTTCTCTCTCTCCCTGTAGAATAAGAAGCTCAGCTCTGGCATCCGGTTACAGGAACCGAGAAAATAATCCTGGTCGCGCCCTATTTAACTTTAAGATCGATTGTTGCTATTTTGTTGTTTTATTAAATTTAAATAAAAGGGCCAATCGTACGGGAAATAAACTACCCGTTAAATGCTCTAGTTTAAATAAGATAAGTGAAATGGTGTAAAGTGGTCTGCTTAGTGGAATAAATAAGTAAAGAATTGGTCCACTAAATAAATTTAATTCAACTTGTTAAACAAAGATTATTTTTGTGACGTGCCACTGCCTTCCTGACTCCGTATCGTATGAGAAAGAAGATCTAACCAAGATCTTATCGTCAGTCGCCATCAGGTCCAATTCACCAGGATTCAACATCTACTCGAATTTCAGCTATTATCTAAGTATTAGTGTTGGGTATTAGTTGATTGTAAGGCCAGTCCGAGTATTTATCAGATTAATTTTATTGTCTCATCTAGCCAGGCGGATCCACATTTTTTTTGAAACGAACCCTGAAATCTAAATTATATCTGATCTTTTTTCTTTTAATTACATTTTAATACTTTCTAAGTAATTAATTGAAAATACATAATTCAACAATGTTTCAACCGTTACATTTATTCGCTGCAAAGCTAAATTATACTCTGTTGGCAAATCTTCTAGTATTGTTGCCTTGCCTAAGAAGCCAACTCCATCGATTATAAGCGATGGCTTGACCATTTTATTAGGATTCAAAATATCCTCTCAATATTTTAGTTGCTCTGCTGATAATTTACTTTCTATCGAAGCAAATAATTTTTCAAAAGCCATTTTTGATCGAAAACATTCAAGAATTTGTAAATTTGCAGCATTAGAACCCTTAACAATATTTAGTAGTGTTTGATAATAATCTTCATAAATGAACGCGTTATGGGTCCAAAGAGGGCCTCAATTTAGAACAGTTTGTGCTAAATGTGTCAGTAGATGGACATTAAATGAAACGTGTTCTATCCCGTACAGCGCTTCGATATCTTTAACAAATCGAAACAGACACTGTCGTGCATAATATATGTCAGGTTGTAAGATAGATGATTTCAACAAAATAGACATTGCATCAACTGACAGACTCCAATGATTAACAAATTTCATTGGAAGTAAAGATCTTAAAATTGGCAAACTGTAGTATAATAGCCAAGCAACCCATTCATGCGCTTTCAGACATTTTCCGTGGCGTTCTTGAAATATCTTTTGATGGTTTTATAGTCATTAGGTAATCGTCAATTTCCGGTAAGAATGCGTTAAAATAAAATTCTTTATCATGATTTTTTGAATCAAACCATAAATTTGCGAACTGTCGACATACCCCAAGTGGAACGCAGTGCTTCCAATCGACGTCCAAATGGTGGATAATATGGAAATTTGGAATATCGCACAAATTCGAACGTCGTTTTATTCCTTTGTCACCTGTCAGGGCATGTTGCAAGGTTTCAGCATGACTTCGAGAACCTTCTCCAAAAGCGTTACCATCATTATCAATTGGGTAAACCCGCACATGCCCTCTGCCTTTAGGTTTTATTTCGCCTTCATGTTTGCATAGTCCACAACCATATGCACCACGAAATAACGAAGAACATCGAAGTTCTGGTCGTTCCACTGAATCACATATCCCTGTGACGTCTGCTAAAATTTAAAATTTTTGCTTTTCTTTCAAATATATGTAACTTTTTATTTTAATTTACAATTGTCGTACCCTTGAAGTCTGTAGAAGAGTAATCTGGCCTAGCTTTCCAAGGTTTGATGACACCCTTTTTAATTTTCGGATTTCTATTTTTTGTCAACACCTTTCAATTTTCAATGACTTTTACCTATTTTTGTATTAATAATACAGTGAAAGTATCATCTCGTTTTCTATTTCAAATTGAAGACTCAAGGTAAATTTCAAAACTACTTATAAAAGTACCTTGATTTCCAAGAATTAGAAAACGCGATGACGCACGGACAATTGCCCTTCACCACCTTTTATTTTTTTGGAATAATTTACTTATGAAGCCCATACAATCACTGATGCTGCTAATCATATAAATTCCGCCCGAAAATCATTTTCTGGCAGTTCCATTTCGACCAGGATACCACTGGTTAGCTCCGCGTCGGTCGGTTCCGGGCATCAAATTCTTCGGAAGCACAAAGTACTCCGTGATACACGAGACAGTGCCTTGCTCGTGGTTAGGTTACATTTAGTAGCACCAACACGGTAAGTTCATTCGATATTTACCATAGTTATATTCCGTTTTCTTTCTTTTTATTATTTTCCGCCGTTGAGCGTTGATTTTTCCGCGAGAATCGTGAAGTATATTGTTTTCCGCCGAAGAGCGTCGATTAGTGTTAAGTTTTGCGCTTAAAGTCGCGAAGGTTAATTCATTATCTGAAATTACTCAATTTCTCCGTGATACACGAGATCCGGTAGTTCGGTAGCGAAAATACCTTAGCGTCGATTGAGTGCTAAGTTTTTCCGCGTAAATGTCGCGAAGATTAAATTAATTCATTATTAGTAAATACTTAATTTCTCCGTGACACACGAGATACGGTATTTCGATAGTGAAACTACCCATAGAAGGTGAAAGGGCCCATTAAATTTGAGCCTCTCTACTAAAGAGCAGACTTCCAGGGTAAGCCCAAAACATTATCTACTTTTAAGACATTATTTCTTTTCTAACTTTTGTGGTCTTTTTATCTCTATTTTTATTAACCATTTTGTAAACCCAAATTTGTAACACTTTTAACTGTTTTTCTTAATAAATTCAAACAAATAAACAAGCTAATTCTTTCATTTTTACTTTTAAAATAAAATAAGATCTCCTTTATAAAATAAAATTACAACTAAATAATAGAATAGGTTACTCGTGACCGAAGTCAGCAGGATCCATCATCCTTACTCTCTCTAAGTTAACACTTAGAGATAACGTTCGAGCTTGTGTACCGCTCTACACACTCCAACGCAATTTTTAATTTAGCTCCCGAACGGACAAAGTGATAACGTTCGGATATTTGAGATTTCTATTTCATATTCCTTGCACCCATCACTCACTCCGTTCGTGACATCCCTAATAATATACGACATTTTCGGCGATAAGTTGATCCTTCATAAATATATTCAAATCCTTCATTGCTCAAGACTGTTGCTTCCGCCACGAAGGGCTTAATATATTCATTCATGTCGGGTTTTTTGGATTCAATGTACAAACTACATAGTAAAATGTGCTGTTTACGAAATCGGACTTGTAATTCATTTATGGTAAAAACAATAGGTATTATTGAAGTATTGGAACTTTTAAATAGAGGAGCCCCATCAACGCTAAAATTGAGACTTATACTACTTTCGTAATTTTCTTCTGGAAGGGGAGCTTTAAACAGCTTTCCATCAAAAATATCTTCCACTGCGTATGAGCACAACTTTTTACGTGGAGTTTCACATAATAAACTATCAGAATAACGTCCAAAAAATTCTTTCAATTGCTCAGTAAGTGATAAATACATGAATATATTCCTTGAATTATGATTTTCCTTAATGTTTACATGTACTTCACAATTAGAACACTTGATTGTTTTTTCAACTCCATCATTAGAATTAGCAGATGTCTTGAGAACCGATTCTTCGCCGATATAAGAACAACAGTTCAGACATAGGTGGTGAATTTCAATTGGTATTGAATGGTAGTTGATAATTTTTTTTAAATGATACAACGATGTGAATCCAGACCGTTCACCATTCAATGCTTCTGTAAGTTTAATAACATTTTCAGCAGCTTCATTAGTAACATTAAACTTTAATTTGAAGGCCAATACAAATAATGTCCGTATCAAAACTTGAATTGGGTATTTATCACACACATAAGTTTCAGACGACAATCTTTCATAATTTGCTTCTTCTGCAATATCTGTTTCTTCTTCTTCATCTTCATCCGAAACATATCTATAAAATTCATTGCATAATAAACCATTTGAATCGCTGTTTTCATCACTAGATCCAGCAGATTCATCACTGGATTCGTCGTAACTCGAAAAACAAATTTCTTCGTCATTTCTATCCTCATAGTTGTCGTAAAATGGAATAAATAAAAACTACAATTTTCGCTATAATTGCATATAAAATTAGATATTATACATATATTAGGTTGGGTCAAAAAATCAACTATTTTTTTCACAACTGACACGGAAAAATGGATTGCTAAACATCTTAAAAAATTCTCACCAAATATGAGCTCTTAATTTTAATAAGATCCTCCACATCGCAGTTTTTTTTTTTTTAGTCAAATAGAAAAAAATGCATACCTCATCATTAATTGATTGTACAGAAAAATGTTTCAAAAAAATTTTGTAGGAAATTTAACGCTCGACAAAAAAGGTATCTTATACTTTTTACGTAAACCTCACCATTTCAATGATATTAAAGATATAAGTTTGATTATTTGAAGTCAAATGTCATTTTTGTTCATGAATTTTATAACTCGACAAGAAATGGCTATTGAAAAGTGCGCAAATTTTGGTGGGAAATTAATTGCTCTATAAAAATAGTATATTATATTTTGGCGATTAAATTAAGCGTTCAAAAGATATTCACCATCAAACTTTCATGTGTACTTTAAAAACTTTTCTGTACAATCAATTGATGATGAGGAATGAATTTTTTTCTATTGGACTGAAAAAAAAATAAAAAACTGCGATGCGGAAGTCTTCCTATTAAAATTAAGAGCTCATATTTGGTGAGAATTTTTTAAGGAGTTGTAACAGTGCAAATTGATATACTCGTGCTCGTGCAAGAGCCTTGCGTACCGTCCTTCGTCAGTTTAATTTCCAGGCACTAGGCGGTGCGGTCGCTTGTCGTAATTCTCGGAGTGGGGAGCTTGGGGCCTAAAAGAGTCAGTCGAGCGGTGGAACAGGCAGTCGGTCTTCGAGCATACAACCCGAAGGATCTCCAAAGAAGCCAGGGGGCAAGCTACTAATCATTCGGAGCGAGTTGTATTTGCGAAGACGAGGTCGGCTCAGTTAGGAATAGTTTAGTTTAATTAGTTGTGATCCGCGAGCTAACTGGTTAGCATCCTCGAAGTGATTCAGTTGTGTTAATCAGGCTAGGGCAAAGACCAGGCCACTAAGTAATTATTCTATTCTGGGGAGTTAATTGTCAAGTCACTAATCGTAGAGTCTTTGGAAGTAAATTTGTTAATTTGATTATTTAATTGTGTTTGTGCCGTGCCAATAATTTCAACAACCTAGCCTCTTTCCCCTCACTTAGTAATAATTAGTTGAAATAAAATATATCCTGTGACCGGATATCAGTTTTGGATACCCACTCCCTGAGAGTGAGCTAGCCTTAGTAACTCGGTTCCGGGAGGCCGAGTGAACTCAACATCCATTGCTTCTCCTGGTGGCGTCCAGAACATCTCTGGCGCGAAATAGGATATCTTAGTCAGGAGGCCACAAAGCCTGCTAAGGTATTACTGTTTTAGAGTCTAGCAACCCATTTTTCCGTGTCAGTTGGAAAAAAAAAACAATAGTCGATGTTTTTGATCCACCCTAATATATATAAATATATATAAAATTTATATATATAAACATATATATACAGCTGAATATATCTTACGAGGTTAATAGCTGGCTGGTCCGGGTCTAATTCTATTTCATTAGATGTGTTATCTACAACTATTGTTAAATTTCTGACTATGTCGCTGATTTCGTCCTAATAATATTAAAAGAGCCATATCATCTACTGAATTAAATTAAGATTCATATAAAAAAAAAAGCATACCTTTGATGATACTTCATTGACGGCAGTAACTGGTTCATCAGAATCGGAAGATCTGTCAGATAAAATTATTTATAATAGAATTGAATAAAATTAATCATTACTTGAGTTAAGAATGAAAAGAACATACGTATGAAGTAGACGGGCAGTTTCTTGAGCTTTCCAATAATTTAAAGTACGTTTGGGAATTTTTTCAGTACTACCATGATAAAGATATCTTTTATACGGTCCTCTTTTTCGTTTTACTGATTGATTATCCATTATTATGAAAACAAGACTAATCAATAAGGATGGTTATAAAACAGCTACGATAAATAAAAAAACAAACTAAGAATCATTGACTACGAAGTATTAAACCTTATTAAAGAAATAGAGCCACTATAGATAACAGTTACCAGCAGAGCAACGATGCTAAAACATAATTTTATCATTGAAAATAAATTTACGAATTATAATAAAAATAATTTTTAATTAAATAATAATAAATAAATGTGTATTATTTTATAAAAAATTTTATAATTTTTAATGAACATATTACATAACAGCTCTACTGATCCTGCCAAAATACGATATAGAGTTGTGTTGGTAACAATGCAGACGCTCGGAGAGAGTAAGATCAAATAGTATTATTTTTCAGTGTTCTTTATCCAAGTCCAGTAGCAGCAGCAGCAAGCATCTTTGTTAGTTGAAATTATTTAATTATTATTGTCAATAGTAATTAAATATTAATGTAAGTCGTAATTAATATAATAATGTGAGCAATATAATTTTATTCGTAGATAAGACGTGTAAAATAATCAGTTATAATAAAGACAGTTCTTACTGTTGATATAAAGGATATATTTTCACCATCAGTATATTTTATATATAAATATTTATATTTTATTAAATATAAAAATTAAAATCTATATTATAACATCAATGTCTAAAAATAAATAAAACGAGAACAAATTTTAGATAAATATGTCAAAATAACCTTAAATAATTTTTTAGAACTTTGTGCTGTTAATTAATATATACATACTATTTATGTAATAGATAATTAAAATGCCAAAAACAATGTACGCATTGATAAAATGGGTCGGAGGAGATGATGATGGCCAATACAGTTATGGTCAATATGGTCAAAGACAATTATTGACTTGAAGAATTTGGATTGTCTGCCGCTGAAAAAACGCCAAGATTACACTTGTTATTTCTGCAGCAACCATGCGCAGCAGGCCAACTTGTGCTGGTGTACTTTAGAAAATGTTAAAAAGTTAAAGGAATGCTTCGTCAAAAATTACTGTGGAAGTCCAACGCTTGAAAAATCACTGAAATTATTCTGCAAGTTGAATATTGAAGACATGAGACCTCAAGATATTGCTATGCTACCTAAATATTTTATTATTGGATGTGCTGCTGACAAAATCAACAGTAGCTGGTTAAAATTACCAACAGCTTTTCAAGAGGACAAGGATATCATGAAGTACAGACGCTGTAATAAACACACAACAACAGCTATTGAATATGATGATTTTTTTAATGATATTCCATTAGTAAATAATTGTAAATTTTGTAGAAAACAATAAAACAAAATTATTTTTAATCAATTAAATAAATTTAAATATTTGTTTTTAAAATAAATTAATAATAGTTTAAGTTTAAATATTTTTTATTTAAAAAATAAATAATATTTTAAAAGATTTCTTTTAAAATAAATTAGTGATAGTTTAATTTTAAATAAATTAGTGATAGTTTAAATTTAAATTTAAATATTTTTTTTTAAATAATGAGATACTGCAAAATGTCCCGACTTTATCAGCCTGGCGAACTACCACCTGAAATTTCCGTTACCAACACTAGCTAAAATAATGTGTAGCTCCCGTGACGTCACAGGACGACACGAGGAGGGGAAAATCAGCTACGAGCCTCAAAACCTGAGCATTGATCGACACTTCGATCTATCCCCCGGTGTTAACTACCACGCTAGGTATTTCTTGGTCAATTTACCACTGTACTTCTATTACTACTATTAGGTGATTACTCACCAAAACATACTAAAATTTATAGAACTTACTACTAATTCATTTAATATTCTTTTATACTACTATTAGGTGACTACTCACCAGAACCTTAAATAATCTAAAAGTTTATTGTCTAATTTAATGTTCCTAATTATTTTCTATCTATATTATTAACTTTATATTAGGTGATTATTCACCACGTTTATTATCATTACTAATTAATTATAGTTTTAAGACGGTAAAATTATTAAAAAAATTAATACATATAAATCAGGGAGTGGAACATCCCCGAACAGCGTATCCCAATTAAATGAAGCTTAAGTGATCATTTATCTATCCGCGAGGACTTGATGACTTAAGTAATTGAATTTTTTCAGATAAATAAAAGTTCAGACGTAATTGAACAAGAATTCACTAAATTAGGCATCAAACTTTCATCAGAGATTACATTTCTAAAAGTAGGAATCCAAAATCCACCATTCAACCATATCCTAAGCTTTAGAAGACAGGTCTACATCACACCGCAAGATGAAGAAAAATTCCCAGAAACCATCAAAATAATATTCGAGGAAACAACCTACTTCATCTACCTGTCTACAGACTCAATTTCTTGCTTCATATGCAAAAAAGAAGGTCACTTGGCCAAAAATTGTCCCACCGAAAATCTCACTATGCATCAGCAAACTGAACCACTCCAAACACAAGCTCAAGAAACGGAAGAAATTAAAAAAGACTCAAAAAAAGAATTAATGACAAAAACAACTGAGTCTAACAAGCCCCTACTGAGTCAAACACAAAACCCTATAGATAATCTAAACACCCAAATGACCTCACAAGAATTTCAAATCCCAATCACCCCTCTACTAACAGAAATGAAAAGACCACGCTCCCTTCCCAGCAAGACATCTAACTGCACTTCCACACAAAGACTTAAATTACCCAGAGGTGACGACAGCTCTACTGATTATGACTCATCAGATAATGACATACCGGAAAAATCACAAAATAAAACTAAACCAAAAAAAATAAAAGCACAAGACAAGATTTTGGCCGAAGACTGGGTCAATATTACCCGAATCATCGCCCAAAAAAAAGATTACCCACTGACTGCCCTACAACTAAACGATTTCTACACGAAATTGCATTGCAATAAGTACCCTATTGAACTAACACTACAGTACACCACAGATCTACTAGGCCTAAAAAAAATGATGAATGATGTGTACCCTTATCTAAGCTCTAGCCTGAAAAATAGAACAACCAGAATAACCAACATCTTCGAAGAACACTTAGTAGCTGAAGAACAAAACAAAGCCAGATCAATGGACACCGATCTCACCCAATAAGACAAAAAAAAATAATACAACCAAAACAAAAGTCTTAACCACTTATAAATTCAAATATGCTGATATTACAATGGAACTTAAACGGATACCACACAAGAAAAGAAAGACTAATACTATTAATAACCAAGCTCAACCCTAATATTATCTGTCTTCAAGAAACAAATTTCAATAATCAATATAGTGCTAATATAAAAGGATACACACTACACAGTCATAAACAAAAACAGATCAAACACACTCCTCGCGAGTGGAGGTGTGGCAACATATGTAAAAAACAATATTCCTTCGCAACCCATTACCTTAGACTCTAACCTTGAAGTAGTAACAACCATGATTAGCTCACCGGATAAGCTCACAATTTGCAACCTATATTTACCAAGTAGCACACAAATTAGCAAAGATGATTTGACAAAAATAACAGACCAACTTTCAACTCCTTATATCATACTTGGAGACCTAAATGGACATAATGTACTCTCTGGCACTCTAAACTCACCAACTACAGGGGAGGAATAATCTAAGACTGGATTACAGATAATGACAACATGGTCCTACTCAACAATGGACAACCCACACGCTTCTTAACGGCCACTGGAAATCAAAGTATCATTAATTAAACATTTGCTTCCACTAACATCGCAACCAACTTTGAATGGAATGTACTTGATGATCCTAACGACAGTGATCACTACCCAATCACCATCTTTCTACTAGAACAACAACCCGACTTGAATAAACCTCGCACCAGACGATGGATTCTAAATAAAACAAATTGGAGCCTTTACCAAGAAACAATCAAGACCGGTATTCCAAAACTTGAAGCACCAGGTATAAATTCTATCCCTCGCATCAATAATACGGTAGCGGAATTCAATAACCTAATCACCACCGCAGCAAACTTATCTATACCACAGACAAACGGCAAGCAACCTAAAAAACAGGTTCCATGGTGGAGCACAAATTGTGAAAACGTTGTTAAAAAAATTCAAAAAAGCATACAGAAAATACAAAAAACACCCCACTGAAGAAAACAAAATTAATTACAAGAGATCGAGAGCAAACGCACGACGAACGCTAAGAGAAAACCAAAAGAACTCATGGCAAAATTACGTATCAACAATAAATTCACAGACCCCAACATCGTTGGTGTGGAAAAAAATTAAAGCAATGAAAACTACACCACAATGCACACAAATATACCTAGAAATACCTGATAGAACCTTTGCAAAAGATCCTAAAGAAATCGCTGACCACCTGGCAGAAACCTTCGCCAATAATTCAAGCGATCAAAACTATGACCAAAACATTCCTGAATAATAAAAACAAAAGAAACGCTAAAACACATCAGAATCACAACCTTGACCAAATAAATAAACCGTTTACACTAAAAGAACTAAACTTAGTTCTCAGCAGTAGCGGAGACACTAGCCCAGGCCCTGACAACATCCCCAACGCCTTACTTAAACAACTACCATCTGAAGGCAAAAGCTATCTACTCGGACTATACAACCACATCTGGAACGAGCAAGTCTTCCCGGATATCTGGAGGCTATCGATAGTGGTCCTAATCCCAAAACCAAAAAAGACAGCTCTAAAGCTAATAATTACAGACCAATATCTTTCACAAGTAACATGTGCAAGATCTTAGAAAAAATGGTAACAAAAAGAATAAAATGGAAAATGGAACAAGCAAACTGGATCGACTATCAACAGTTTGGATTTCGGAACTACAAATCCACAACAGACTACCTCGCAAGACTTGAAGATGACGTCTGTGATGCATTTGTCAATAAAAATCACCTATTAGCAGTTTCACTGGACATCGAAAAGGCTTTTGAAATGGTAAGCAAAGAAAATGTTATCGAAATACTCAAAGAACTTGAGCTCAATGGCAACATAATCGCTTACATCAGTAATTTCATCCACCAAAGAAAAATTATAGTCAGGTTCAAAAATACCCTATCTGATCCTGTAGAAACTTTTAATGGAGTACCAACCAGCTCAGTACTGAGTACTGTACTTTTCATAGTCTCAATTAATTCAATCCTAACGAGAATTATTCCTCCAGCAAAAGCATATTTATATGCTGACGATCTCACCATCACTTGTCCTGGAAAGAACATCCAAGTAACCACACAATTGATGCAAATGATACTCGATAGAATTAACACATGGATGCAATCAACCGGATTCAAATTCTCAGCATCAAAATCCAAGTACACCTTCTTCTCAAAAAAAAAACTACATGAAAATTGCGAACTCTGGATCAACAATCAACGAATAACCAAGACCGAAGAAATAAAGATACTAGACTAGTCTGGGACAGTAAACTTACTTGGGCAGCTCCCGCATGGAAAAATATATATGCGAAAAATATATGCAAATATATATTTTCACATATAATTTTTTTGCGCTCAATATATGTCCGCATATATGTTCACATATATGCGTAGATATATGTTCACATATATGTGTGCATATATGTTCACATATATGTGCGTATGTGTCTAGAGATACACAGAAAAAAATTTAACTTGAATCAAGAAAATAATTTTGAAAAATTTAACTTTCTTGATTTGAGTAAAAAAATTCTCAACTTAGAAATTTTTTTTTCAGTGTATGCTTACATATATGTCTACATATATGTTTACATATATGTAAGCATGTATCTCTGCATATATGTCAGCATCTATGTGAAAAATATATGTTGACATATTTTTTTTTTTTGCGTAAATATATGCGGCATTAGGGTGTGCCAAAATGTAACTTCCTTGAGGGACCTCTTAGAATTGGAATTTTGAGTTCCGCTTTTAAAAGCAGCTCTGTTTAGGTCTTTCCTAAGATATTTTGCGGTAAGACGATAAATTTGATTTTCATAGAATTTTTTAACTGGAGCTAAGTTAGGGCACTTCCGCTGGAAATTCAAATTTTTGGTGGAAGTGCCCAATTAAATCTCCTGCTAAAAATTCTATGAAAATCAAATCTATCGTCTTACTCCAAAATATCTTAGGAAAGACCGCAACAGAGCTGCTTTTTAAAGCGGAACTCAAAATTCCAATTTTAAGAGGTCCCTCAAGGAGGTTACATTTTGGCACACCCTAATGCGGCATATATATTATATATGCAACGTATATTTTTAAGATATATATTTCTCCATGCGGGAGCTCACAACAAGAACCTTAAAGCCGAATGTCAACGTAGAACAAACATAATAAAAATACTAGCATCTAAACACTGGGGGTCGGCATCTCAAATCTTAATCAATACTTACAAGGCCCTCATCGTGTAAAATGCTGAAAGAGCGGAAAAGTGGGGATCAGGTTTAGATCTGGATATCTCAATTAAAATACAAAAATTATTATTAAAAATAACACTAGAGATTTATTAACAATAAATACACTAAATATTTAACTTGTTCAATAGCGGATTGTATAAATAAAAGCGGATTTGTAATACACTGCGTGGTTATCAAAGCGAAGCCGGTTAGCACGTGGTTGATGAACTGCCGGCACTGTAAAAAGCGGTAAATTACTGCACATATAATTATAAGTTATCTGAAACAAACTAAATACAATTAATTGCAATTTAATTAAGCAAAGAAAATTATTTAGGAAGCGAAAAGTGGTTATTTAAGAAAGCGAAACTTAAGTAAGCAAAAAAAGCGACTTGATAGTACTAAAGATGGATGCGAAAGATAATAATAATAGTTCGTCTTCTTCCTCGTTGACTTGGGGAAGAAGGCTATTGCGCATGTCCAGCGAGAGCGATCATCCAATCAATAAATTCGTTCTATTGATGTCGACATCGATAGCCAATAGTAAAATTCGATACATGTGGCGGGATCGAGAAGTCGGTTTGCGCAAGCGGGTGAGAATTTGCGGGAACGAGCGCATGTCAGGTGCGTGTTGTAAATTTGGGGAGCCCACAGTGACGTATTGCTCACTGAGTGGGCCTGTTCACTGAACACATTGAATCAAAGATTAATTATGGGGCGGAAATATACGGCTCAGCAACTAGCTCCAACCTTAAAACTCTTGACACTATTCAAACAACAGCACTAAGACTTGCAATCGGAGCCTTTCGAACAAGTCCTACAACGTGCATATTAGCAGAAGCCAAGGAAATCCCTCTGAGACTCAAAAGAATAGAATTGTCCATCAGGTTCATGACAAAAACTTTAGCAGAAAATCCCAACTTTATCACTAACAACAACCATCTCAACGTCGAATATCAAAAGCACCCCAACACCCCTAGGCCCCTCCGGATCAGAATACAAGACTACCTAACTGAAACAAACTTAACACTACCAAAAACTTTCAAAAGACAATTGCATCCTATCGCCCCATGGGAAACGATAGAAATAATTTCGGACTATAACCTTAACGAAAGAGACAAGAAAATCACCACTGCGAAAACCTTCCAAGCACTCTTCCAAAAAACTAAAGAAAAGTACAGCAATCATTTAGAATTCTACACAGATGGATCCAAAACCAAAATAAGAACAGGATACGCGGCCATCAACGAAGACAAAGTAGAAGCCTCCAAGTTACCTGATACCTACTCCATTTCTTCCTGTGAATTATATGCAATTATGAAAGCACTCCAATTAGGAACAAAAGAAATTAAAAACATCGTAATCTACACTGACTCTAAATCCAGCATCCAAGCGCTCGAAGACCAATTTTCAACAAACCCCATCGTACATCAAATACAACAAATCATATACGGGCAGAACGCGACAAAGGTGATATTAGTCTGGATACCATCGCACCAAGGCATTACCGGAAACGAAAAAGGGGACACAGAAGCTAAAAACGAAACAAGAATAATTCAAGAGGACTCTATAGCACCAACGACTTGGATAGAATGCAAAAAATATATAAAGAATGCTGTACAAAAACACTGGGAAAACCAATGGAACCTTAGACCCAAAACAGACAACCAAACAACACTAAACTACGAAACCAAAAATCAACCACACTTCAAAAGAAATCGTAGAGAACAAACCATTATAACGAGAATTAAAATAGGACATACAAAACTCACACACTCATACCTAATGGAAAAATCAAATAAACCTATCTGCCCAAGCTGCAATACAACGAATAACATCAAACATATACTAATAGATGGCAATTTATATAACCACCAGAGAATGAAAAACCGACTTCCACTTAATATGCAAGAAATACTGAATACACAAAGCGGAAATCAACGACTCATCCTATTCCTGAAAGACACCAAATTGTATACTCAACTATAACTATCACACAATAAATAATGTAACCAATATAACTTAACATATTTAACCTATCTAGACCAATTGTAATTAGAAAACATAAGATACTGTAAAATAACAAACCAATACTACTGTTTAAGATAAATAAATTTGTATAACATAATACTGTAGTCGCTCATGACCATAGATGTTTTAATAACGACAATAAATAACTGAATAAAAAAAAAAAATAGTTTAAATATTTTTTTTAAAATAAATTAGTGATAGTTTAAATATTTTTTTTTTTAAATAAATTAATAATAGTTTAAGTTTAGATATTTTTTATTTAAAAAATCAATAATAGTTTATAAGATTTCTTTTAAAATAAATTAGTGATAGTTTAATTTTAAATATTTTTTTTTAAATAAATTAGTAGTTGTCTAAATTACAAAATTTTTTTAAATAATTTAGTGATAGTTTAATTTTAAATAAATTAGTAATAGTTTAAATTTAAATTTGAATATTTTTTTTTAAATAAATTAGTAGTAGTATAAATTAAAATAAATTAGTAATAGTTTTAAATAAATTAGTGATAGTTTAATTTTAAATATTTTTTTTAAATAAATTAGAAATAGTTTCAATTTAAATATTTTTTTATTTTTAAATAAATTAATAATAGTTTAAGTTTAAATATTTCTAAAAAAATAAATTAGTAGCAGTCTAAATTAAAATTTTTTTAAATAGTTTAAATATTCTTTAAAATAAATTAATAATATTTTTTTTTTATAAATACTTCCATAATTATTCTTTATTTATAAAAATTTTTCTAATTTTAATTATAAATTTTTTTTCAATAAATTAATATTTTAAATTTGAGTTGATAATAGTACAGTTCTATTCACCATCATAGTTCAGTTACTATCATAGTCCAGTTACCAACATGGACAAATTTTAAGGTTTGTTAGAGGACGTCTCAAATCGACTTATTTATTGACATGTGATTTTTTTGTCGCGGGAGATTTTAAAAATTTTTCTATGAAATAGAGTTTATTTATTAGAAAAATTAATAATTAAAATTTGAAAAATTTTTAGAAATAAACAATAATTATACGAGTATTAAAAAAAATTTTTTTTTTTTCAATAAAAAAATAGATGTAATTTTTTTTAAATTATAATTTTTTCCCTCGGTTTTTCAACATTAAATTAATAATAAAATTATTCAATAACGTCATCTCATTGTGATAATTGATATTTATTATTTAATAAATTATTAATAATTCTTGATAAAAATTTCAAAAATTTATTGCACACTATAGCATTTTTTCAGTCAACACAACCAGGCTCAGACAGGTGACAGCACGCCGGTTTGTTTACGAGAGCCGCCATATTGCTGTCTCACTCACTAGTATGAGACTTGTGTATTCTTTATCTCAACCCGAAGCTTTGGGTGTCGCGGGTGTCACAAGTTTTCGGAAATGTTATAGTTTTTAGAAGAACAATAACCACCGCGATACCCAAAGCTTCGGGTGGAGATAGACGCTAACCAAAAAATAAAAATTTTTTTTTTAACAAACAGCAACATAAAGATGTAAGTATTGTTGTTAATATATATTAATAAATTAAAAAAATTGAATAATTATATAAATTAAATAAAAGAATAATAAATAAAAATAATAAACGAAATTCAATAAATAATAAATTCAAAAATTAAATTATAAATATAAAAGTGTGATGTTATAAAAAAATTAAATAAAAAATTATACAAGTGTAATGTGATAAAAAAATTAAACTTAAACATAAAAATAAATAAATGATTAACATTACATTGTTATGTGATGAAAAAATTTTAATAAAAATACTCAATTAATTAAAGTTCATAGTGATGCAATTATAAATAAAAATAATAAACAAAATTTAGTAAAAATAAAAATTCAAAAATTACATTATAAATATATCAGTGTGATGTAATAAAAAATTAACCTTAATCATAACAAATTAAATACATTAGATAAAAAATTATACAAGTGTGATAAAAAATTAAACGTAAAAATAAATAATTAACATTATATTGTTATGTGATGAAAAAAATTTTAATAAAAATATTCAATTAATTAAATGAATGAAAAAAAGTTCATGGTGATGCAATTATAAATATGAATCATTAATTCAACGTATGGTTGATTATTAAATTAAATAATCAAATTCAATAATTAAAATTATAATAAACAATAATAAAATTAATGTGTTTGAAGATAATTTCTTTTTATAATTATTTTTTATAATTTTAACTATGAGAATAATTTATCAAATGTGATGTTTTTTTTTAGTGAGATCATGTCAACCGCTGATGATTGGATGTTGGTTGATCGATACATCCATTATGAGGTTGTCTTTCCTAAAATATGGTTGATACAATTCCAAAATGATGGTGTTAACTTAATTGATTCCATCAGAATGGGATTATTAGATGTCATTGATGATGGTAGAAGCATTACTGATCTACCAATTATTAGAATAGGGAACCATACTGCTACGTTAAACCTCCGCCATGACATTGAAGTTTGGTGGTTTCGCGTACTTCGTATTGATAACATTACCGATTAAAGGTATTCTATTTTACAGGGGTCTGCAGCAAACATTTTCCTAAATTTATACGATGTTAATGCTGAAAGCGATGAAAATAATTTGAGTTTACCACCACCACCACCATTACAACGAACATCACCACTACTATCGCAAGATGTTATGATATCGATGGCTAGGCTATTTGCCTTGGTAGAAACTTCAACAGGCATGGCTAGAATTATCAGTAGGAGGTTGTTCCAACAACTAGTTGAAAATGTTATTGAACAGGAATTAGAACAACAACGACAACAACAACGACAACAACGACAGCTACGAGGACGGCGACGGCGACGATCATCATCATCTTCAACTGATTCTACTCAATCAAGTCGACCACAACAGCGACGAGGATGGCAACGGCGACGACAAGAACAACAGTCATCAACTGATTCTTCTCGATCAAGCCGACGTAGACTGCGTTTTGGTGAAGATGAAGAGGAGTTGAATTCTTCACCACCACCTGTGAGACGCAGATTAACGTCGCTACCACCACCACCACCATCCTCACCCCAACGTGGAACATCCAGTGGCTATTCAGGGTTAAATGCTCTATAGTTGCGCTTTCTTGTTGATGATGATGATGACGAGAGTGGATATGCAGCTGATCATGAGGATTGGGATGATGCTGATGTAACAAACGATCGATCAAGAATCAGAGAACCCTCTCAGGAGTTGGATTCAGGAATTAAAATGCCAACACATAGGTGTGAAGTCTGCAAATTGTCATCCTGCCTAGGTGATCAAGTAACTTTACCACCATCCCCAACACCATCTATCGTGATGGTAAGAATGTCGACTGATGAAAGCGATGGCACTGCTAATGAGGAGAAGAATATTTTATGTCATCCCGGGGATTTTGTCGACTATGACTCAGACTGTGAACACTCATCTTCATCTTCGACTGATCATCAACTGCTCTAGAATTAACAAACTCAAGAGGATAATTGAAAAAAATTTTCTATTCATTTGTATTAATATTACAGCTACTTTTATTAGAATAACTTTTTCTATTATTAACATTATTAATAAATGTTTTTTTTTTCGATTAATATTACAGTTACTTTTATTAAATAAGTTTTTTTATTAAATAATTTTTCTATTATTAACATTATTTACAAATGTTTTTTTTGATTAACATTACAGCTACTTTTATTGAATAACTTTTTTTATTAAATAATTTTTCTATTATTAACATTATCAATAAATGTTTCTTGCAAAAAAATAGGTTTTTGTTTTCAAATAATTTAGTGATAGTTTAATTTTAAATATTTTTTTAAAATAAATTAATAATAGTTTAATTAATAATAAAAACTAAGGTAAGTAAAGGTTTATAATATTTATGCATATAATATTAATAATGAAAAATAATAAAAAATAGTGTAATTAATCAATAAAAAATAATAAAAATAATAAAATGATCATAAAAACTAAAATTAATTCATTAACAATACTAAAATAGTGAAATTAATAATAAAAAAAATAAAATAATAATGAAAAAATAGTCATAAAAAATTATATTATATGTAAATAATTATTTATATATAATAAAAAAATAGCGTAATTAATAAAAAAATAGTGCAATTCATGATAAAAATTATGGTATGTAAGGGTTCATTATTTATATATATTGAAAAAATAATAAAAGTCAAAAATAGTATAAATATTAAAATTGGTGATGAGCAGAGGTTTATTAAATATGCACATAATAATTTCTATTATTTTTTAAATCAAAAAATAATTAATACAAGGCAGTGAAATTAATAAATGAGTAAAACTGAGAATTGTAAGACTTTTTTGTTTTTATTGTAAATTTTTTTTTACATACATTTAAGATTTAATAACAAATTTAAATATATTATCCTTTTTCTGAAGAATGTGTAGGTAAAGTAGATCGTCGTTGGTAGATTCCACTAATTTTGCGAAGATGTCAGCATTGGCATTCAAAAATTTCACAGTTTTAGTGGGAAGAAAAATTTGAAATTCTGTATCAATTGTGGCGACATATTTCGAGCCAAACTTGATGGAGACCGTTTTCAATTGACTAATCTTGTAGATTCCACCCTCTTCCAGCTCGTAGATCTTCTTCGTGGGGAGATATCCTGGTGTAAGATTAATTTTGATGAGCTCAACTAATTTCATTTTTTCAATTTAAATATGGTTCTCGCTGAGTAAAGTCACAGACTAGTTTCGGCCTTTGCCGAGTGAAGACACACTTGTAGTCCGGCTTCCGCCGAGTGAAGTCAACTTACAGTCCGGCTCTTGCCGAGTACAGTCGCAGGTTACAGAATACAGCAGAGAGTCGTTCACGGCTTCTCGTTTCAGCCATTTTGAGATACAGCTTTATTGTATTAAAGACTTCAGTTATGTTACAGCTATTAGTATTGTTTTATAATTTTATATTTGAGTTATAGTATTTTATATTTTTGGAAAGAGTAAGTTTCGAGTCAGTTAAGTAAATGGTTAAAGTTTAGTGAATTATGTTGGCGTCTCGAGCTTGTTGACGAGTCTACGTTGTCGTGGAGTGGGACTTTGGAGTCACCCGACCTCGTAGATGCTAGGCATCTAGCCCTATGAGACTCCCGGTGAATTATAAAAGTCTGATTGTAATATCAGCGCTCCAGTATGAGGGATTTGAGCTGAGGTTGGAACCGGTATGTCGTTTACGACATTTTTAATTTTAGTTGACTACGGCGAGGATTGACCGATCTCGTCGGGAGTCAGCACTTGGTCAGATACGGTACGGGTGGCAGGCCACCGAAGGCAGCTGACCATGTCGGCGGTGGAAGCCAAACGGTAATTTTTGGATAATTTTTGGCTAGTTTTGATAATTTCTAGCGAATAAAAAATTATCTGATTACGTATATGGTTCCAATCCAAAGCCAATCCCAGGAGAATAATCACCAAGTGATATCCTAGCTCGAGGAACGGCATATTGAAGGTATGTTAGTTTTTATTGTTGAGTTTATCATGGGATAATTTTTCAGTAGGTTTTTAGATATTACTTTAGAGTCAGATTAGTTTGGGATTTTTATTGAGTATTTTTGGGTTTTGTAAAGATTATGGGGATGATTGAGTTTTATTATAAGAATTGTTAGAGCTTCAGATTATATTTTTGTTATTATTTTTGAGTTATCACGCTACATTGAGGATTTTGTGAATTATTATTTTGTCAGTAAATTATTCAGTTGTAATTTTATAATATTTATAGTTTTATATCGAGTCACGTTTACGATTTTTGGTATTTAGTTTTGTTAATAAATCAAAGGTCAATTGAATATCTAAGCGTATTAATAATCACAATAATTCCGATCTGCATCCGAATCCCTCCCTCTCTCCATAAACCAGCATACTGAGCGACACCGTGGTTTACCTGTCTTTCCGCTATAGCTACCAGTCGCAGATTCTAGTTTTTATTAAGTTTTTAGAGTATTTTTGTTTAAGGTTACATTTATTGAATTTTGGTAATTTCTCTTGTGTTAAAATTATCTGGCGCCTTGGCTTTTAGTTGAGACTGGAAGCGAGAGTGAGAGAGAGAAGTATAACCAACATTGAGTAATCTGCTACGTTGTAGTAAATCTACCCGATGTTAAAATTTTGGTTATAGTATGTGTGTGTGTGTGTGTGTGTGTGTGTGTGTGTGTGTGTGTGTGTGTGTGTGTGTGTGTGTGCATGTGCGCGTGCGTGTGTGTGTTTGTTTGTGTGTTCCTGTGCGTGTGTGTGTGTTTTTTTCTTCTTTTGCCTTTAGGGGGAGGAATTCTTTTTACGGATTCTAGGCGTAGCTGTTTGGCCTGGATATGTGGCGACTCGACGCAGCGTCATACTAAAACTCGACGCTAACGCCCCTACCCACTAAACCCTAAACCCATTTCCTCTTTCCTCTAATCCCTCATGGAAACTGCCGTTAGGCATTACTTCGTGGGGAGAGGATATAGCGACTGCTGTTCCTTCTGGTAACTAAGGTATTATTTTACCTTTCTTCTAGTTGTTGTGATTTGCTCTTTTTCTTCCGATGGAACGCAAGCCTATAAGGACTTCTGTTGCAAACGTGTTTGCGGCGTTCCAGGCAGCCTCTGATGACAGCATTGCTTCTACTATTGTCTCTGGTTGGATTTTCTTGTTCAGGATCATCTCCAGCTCATCTCGCTGTGGGTAAAATTGTGGGCACTCAAAGAAAACGTGCTCCACGTCTTCATTGATTCCTGGGCAGGACGGGCACTCCGGTGAATCATCATGCTTGAAGCGGTGAAGATACGTCCGAAAACATCCATGTCCTGACAACATCTGCGTCAGATAGAAATTGACCTCGCCATGACTTCGGTTTAGCCAAACGTCGATCTTCGGTATGAGACGGTGTGTCCATCTTCCTCTTGTCGCGGCGTCCCACTGCGATTGCCATCGGGCGATGCTGTTCTGTCGTTCTTCAGCTCTGAGTTCCTCGGCACTTAGTACGGTTGTCCTCTTTCGTTGGTAAAGGTTACGTCTTTCCTTAGCTAAGACTCTGAGCGGTAAAGTTCCGGAAATGACACACACTGCTTCCTCTGATATTGTTCGAAAGGCGCTGGCTACTCTTAGCGCGCTCAGTCGGTAAACTGGACATGCTTTCCTCCATGATTCTTGGATCTTAAGTGCGTCGGCTTAAGTGGATATACCATATGTGAGGACCGATGTAACTATTGATGATAGCAATAACCTCCTTGTCTGCTTCGGGCTACAGATGTTGGGCATCAATCGTACTATGTAAGCCACTACTGGTGATGCTTTGGGGGTCACGTGTTCAACTTGTTGTTTGAAGTTAAGTCGGGCATCGAGCATCACTCCCAGATATCGAATAAATGGTTGGGATGTGATTTCATGGTCTCCAACGTTTAGATTGATCGTTTCCACCACTTTTCTGCTAGTGATAAGTACAGCCTCGGTCTCCTGTTTAGCCAGTTGTAGGTTTACTGTGTCCATATACTGGTTAATTCGCCCAATAATAATAGCGAACATATGTTTTATCTCATCAAGATGCTTCGCGACGATTACTACGGCTACGTTGTCTGCGTACGCTACTAGTTTGACATTTCTTGGTAGTTTCAGTCTCAGCAATCCGTTGTACATGACATTCCAGAGAAGTGGACTGAGAACAGAACCCTGCGGTACACCTCCAGTAACATCATACTCCTTTGGACTATTCCTCGTGTCATATCTCAGGATTCTATCTGTGAAGTAGCTAGCGACTATCCTTCGTAGGTATCCTGGTACGTTCATCTCTTGAAGGGCTTGCATGATGCAATCCCAGTTGGCGGAGTTGTAGGCGTTGTTAATGTCTAATGCCGCCACCAGGTAATACTTCTTTGTGCCACCCTTCCATCAGGTTCCTGCGATCGCTTCTTTAGCCGTGCTAACAATCAGATTAATCGCGTCCAGGGTTGATCGTCTTTTCCGGAATCCATACTGGTTGTCTGCCAGGAGTGGGTCGACTACTGCATCTATTCGTTGATGAATTATGCGCTCAAATATCTTACTCGCCGTATCTAGCATGCAAAGTGGTCGGTAAGATGACGGTTCTTCTG